AGCCTGTGGAGGGAGGAGTTGGGGAGGCCGACAAGCAGTGAGTTTGCATAGTTGAGCTCCACTATCAACGGGCGGCCCTTCTGCACTCTTCACCCACCCTCTGGAACTCCATCCCGCAGTCCCTCCGTCTCGCCCCCTCCCTTGCCACTTTCAAGACCCACCTCAAGACCCTCTTCTTCGACCGTGCCACACACTCACAGTGAAGTAACATCCATTAACTAAGAGATAAATCACCGAAGATGAAAATTCATTACATACTGCAGTGAACCACTAAATGCTCTAGCAGAGGATATGGAAAATTTATGCTCTTAAATGTACTTTTAAACATCACTCACCCCATTTCTTAATCAGTATAGGAACATTATGAGATGCAGATTCTTATTCAAAATATTGTTGTTTGACCATTTTAGACTTCAAAAAGGTTTTTCAAAGAAAAGCATCTTGAAATCGAACATCTCTAACTGAACCGCCAGCTTTCTCATGATGGTACATTGTTTTGTTTCTGAATCACAAATTGGATGAAATATTCAACAGGCCATAAAACTGAATCTATAATGGTCCCTGAAGCGAAACCAGTTTGGTGATATTTTGCTTGCATAATTTAGATTTTTATTCTTGCATACCAATGGGATATAAAATGCTTCAATAGTGCATTAATAGACCATAGCCATTTGTGATTATAAACGACAATGCTACATTTATACTGCAATTTTGTCTGTGATTCATTGTCTATTTTGTAAATAGGAAAAAATCAGTATTGGAGGCTGGCACCTGAGGTGGTTTCAGGAACAGTTTGATTGGCTCCATTCCAGGACAAAGACAGCAAGTGTCGATTGAACTGGGCACACATCTACAAATGCTGAAGCTAAATATGTTGGACCATGAATAATTTTCAATAGACTGATTTTTCGACAACTTGGATTGAAATACCATATTTCATGAAAAACATGTCAAGGATTTTACAGATATTGTACACGATGGGTCGAATGGCCTTTCCTGTGCTGCACATTTCTATAGTTCTATTGGGCTGTGGGGAGGTGGGGTGGGAGCAGGAAAGGGGAAGCAGAGTCCTGCAGAGTAACTGCAGGCACTACCCCACATGAAGGGTGCTATATAAATGCAAGTTGTGTTGTTGTAATGGTCCTAATAGGTAGGGACACTGTATAGGGAAGTCTGTATCCATTGAGATGAGGCACGGACTATTTTGAGTGTAAATGTTCATTACTGTACCTGCTGATATAAGATATGATCATTATATTTGCTGCATTTTGCTAAATGAGCCAACTGCAGGAAATGAAGTGGAGTTAATGTAATGCAACCCTCTGGCATTTTCAAATGAAAGTGAATTTGAATCCTATCCATGTGTTGATACTGTATATCTATGGTTGCTATTTGGGGTAACATATACCACCTAATCATGGAAAAGGGGTTGGCAATAATTTATTATTTATTATTGCCAGAAGCTGAAGGCTAGCAAGCAAGGCAAAGGTAAATATCATTTTGCGATACAATTTGTCTGCCAGCTGTGTTGTTTTAATCGTTATTTGAATGCAACAGTGATGTTATAGCAAACTGCTCACTGTATCTCTAGTAATAGTTTGGTGTTATAACAGCTTTTTTTTAATTATCTATATAATGCCATTGCACAAAATGAATGGGCAGTTACAGAATATGTTGATATGCTCATTCTGTGAATACATGTGTATTTAAATCTAGTTCTAAATTTAATAATTTAATTATTTAATAATCATTCATCATTCACTGAATGTTTCCTGTCAAAGTACAAAGTGAGTGAAATGTTATGGTACATTGCAAGGGCATTTTGGCTTCCAAGGAGTTAAATATTCACCCAACAATAAAGGAAAATGAGCAATATATTTCAGCTGGTGCAGGAGTGTTACCTTGCCTGGCAGTCAACTAATCTTCCATTTATTTCAACCATACTATTACTATTACTGGCAGTTCTCTAATATTCTCAAGCTTTAAACAGGCAGATAGAGAAGTGGTCAGAGAAGAGAGTAGATAGCCCTTTTATTGCTTTCTACTACTACTGACAAGAATAAGGGCTGATAGAAGATGACCTCATCTCCTTTACTATGGAAACACTAATCTATAGACCATCCATCTCAGCCATAATTACAACCTGGAATACTTTTTCTTAACAGGACAAGATTGTAGCTGTGCAAAACATAGAGACACTTGCTATTGTGGCTACTGATATTTTGAAACACCTCTAATTTTTTTAATTTTAATTATCTATTTGCCATGTGATCAGAAATAATAAATAACTATAATAATCTTTAAATTTGATGCAGCAGCTTCCACATCAGGAGGACATCTGAAAGCGCTTCACAGGATTTGCTGTAAAGTGTAATGACTGTGCATTTTGTAGGCAAAATACCATTTGCTACTCTCCCGCGTTCACCTTGGTGGAATTTAAATGATAATTGTACTGTTTGAATGCTACTCGATGAACACCTGTGCATTTTTATTTATAGATACTGGTCAAGGGGTGAGAGGTAATTGAGACTGCGATCAGTACAATGATGGCCACATTCCTCAATGGTCATTCTCCTCCCTGTTGGTACTTTATAAGGAATCTGGGTCTACAAGGCAAAATCCATAAACCAGTTTGAAAACAGCCTTTTGCACACCACTAAAACACCGGAAGCTGCAACTAATTCTGGAAAATACCCATTTTAGCAACTGGTATCCTAATAATATAGCCATTTGAGCAACTCATTCCCCTTGCTACTAAGTGCACTGTCTTTCACATAGATCTCTCCGTCTGCCCAGAAAGAAGCAAAATTTGCCTTGTTGGGTACGTACTGTGTTGTACCTGCAAAATACACTTCACAGTAAATCCTGTGAAGTTCTTTCTCAAAGTTTCTCAAAGTGTCCCAGCTAACAATCACCCAGATAAAATTAATCATTCGCTACTCGGCTGTTTGTGGGTCATTGCCATGCACAAATTGGCTGCTGGGTCTGCCTGCAAATGTACAGTCAGTACACTTTACAGTAAATTTCTGTGAAGTACTTTGAGACGTTTCGACAATGCGATGAGGTGCTGCATCAAATGGGAGGATGATTATTATCTATTATGTCTTGTCCTCCTAATACACCCATTAACTCCAATATCCCCCCATCCCCCCGTCTTCATTATGGATATTTGTGCAGTCAGCTTATCCCATGCATTATTTTCACCACTTAAAGATGGGGGAATAGATTGCATACCACACAGGTATGGAGTCCCTAATACATTTCCAGCTTATTAACTTTATTCACAGTGTGAAAAAAACCAGAAGCATCCAATTCATTCACTTATATCACATTTGGGAGGAATCGAGTCATTAAAGAGGTACCGTATAAAGATCTGAAGCATGTCACAAATGTCACAAATCTGGTCAGGATTTTTTAAATTAAAAATAGTTGAATCAACTCAACACTTTGCTTGGTTTTGTGATGTATAGTTATTAATGATGAGGGGATTTATTGCATGTTGCACCACATGAAACACGGCAACTTGTCATGCTCAAGACAAGATTTATTGGTGCTCTTGGAAACACTTTCCTCCTGCAGTCCCGACTTGCGGGCTTTGGGCTAGAGATACAATAAATAGAAATAGAGCGACCACGAGTGGTTAGAGTTAGGAACGAATCGACATCAGTCAACGTCGGACACGAAGCACAAAGAGAAGTGATCAATCAATTGAGGAATGTTAATAGTCATCAAATGCAAAGTCTTTACGTGTCCTGCAGTGCAGGACAATTCTCCCAGCAGAAGAAACAGAGTCAAACGCAATGGTTTTCCGCACTAAGCGAAGACCTGTGCAGACTGCAGATTGCTTCTTTTCATAAACACTATTTGAAGGAAGACACCCCAAGAAGAATATATAATTTGAAAAGCAAACAACTGTGTAATCCGCAATTTGAAGAGAAAGAGAGAGAAAGAAAATTTAAAAAAATGTGCCTTTTTAGGCTTGAATTTAAAACAAACCAGAATCAGCGCATTCGCTGTCTGGGCTAATTCAGTGATTATTATTAATAACAATAATTAATAATAATTGCAGTACTGTACTGTACAATAACCTAAGCTCGTCAGCCTTATTGAATAAATAAGGATATATATCTCTGTGATCGCCTTGCAATTTAAGTGGCACCCGACTTTAAAAACAATACAAGGGGGGAAAAAGATATCTGTGCAGTGCAGTGAATGATCAATCAGTTTTACTTGGAATTCGTTTGAAAGATCCCATCAAACACTGATTTACCACTAAATGCTTTTTAAAAAAAGAAAGGTGTTAATTTCATCAAACACCTCTCTCACACACACACACACACAATTTTGAAGCTTTAGTTACATTTATTTGCTGTGTTGTCAAATCAGAGACAGATGAATCCAGAGACACAACACAGAATTTTGGGAGTGGAAGATTGTTGAAGCATATAACAGTCTATTTACTCCGCACATTTACATGAACATATTTGCACCATTTTATCGCGAATTGTGTTCTTGGTTGAAAGGCAAAAAAATATGTTGAAAAATCATGGAGGAGAGAGAGAGAGAGAGGGGGGAAAAAAAAATCTAAAAAAAATGTGCTGGGGCCATCGTTACTGAAGGTGATCAATAAAAGATGCAATTAAATTAAGCCATTAGCTCCATTGGAGTTCAATTAGGATTTAGTTATATTCCCCTGTGAGAGTTTTTGTATACATGTCATTGCAAAATACTAATACATGGGTCGCAATATACATTAATAGTCAGAGGAATAAATGCAATTGAAATTGCTACGAGGAATAGGAGGCTGTGTGTAAAAAAAAAGGGATCTGCTTTCTGGAAAGGCTTCAAGATGTTTCAAAGAGAAAAGTGCTGTGTGTATCGTGTAGACATCACGTAAAGACTTTGGATTCCTCTGATTCGATACCAAAGCCACACACGTTTTTTTTTTAAAAAATATACAAATAGGATAAAAAGGAGTGTCCCTGCAGGGAACTGCTGGAGTGGAGAGTTTTGTGGTGGTGGTGGTGGTGGTGATGGAGTGGGAGGATGCATCTCTGGGCAGAGCATTCATTGATCAGTAAGTCCAGCTCTGAGATGGTGAAGGGGAGTGAGTGCAGGTAGTCACTCAGTCAGTCACTCACTCACTCAGTCATCACTCACTCACTCACTCACTCACTGACTAACGACCAGAGCATTATAAAGAGATCGCATCCTCACCACCTGTACCTGTACCTGAGAGCAGGGGATGGGGAGAGCTGGAGAGCTGCAGGTAAACCCACGTTTTGCTGTGTGTGTGTGTGTGTGTTTTTTTTTAAAACTCACATCAAAGTTGACCAGGGATTTCACATCGCAAGTGCTTCCTGACCAGTTGGCAGAAACGAACGATGCAATAAAAAAAAATAAGGAGGTCGGTGGGTGGATGAACTGCCCAGGACTTGGGGGATAACTGCACAAGGCAATGTGCAATGAGATGAACAGTGAGTCGTGTTAGTTGCAATTGCCTTGAAAGGGAACAACCAAATAATTCGACATTGCCTTCTTGCAACCGATTGATCCACAGCAGCCTGTGTGGAAGGGGAATGGGGTTGCTGCTATGTGTGCATGTGTGCATTGCTGTGCATGTGCATGTATGTGTATGTGTGCTGTCCATGTATACCCTGAATGACGATGTTTAACCCCCTGTTATCTCCGCTCTGCTCAGGTGGCGAGGAGAGTGTGTGAGAGCAATCGTGTGTGGGCAGCAATGGCTCATCACTCCGCAGCCTCTGTGCTGGTGGTCAGTCTCCTGTTACCGCTGCTCACTGGTACCCGGACTCAGGGTAAGTGGGTGCGAGCCTGGGCTCACCATCCGGGGGGGGCGGGGGGGGGGGGGGGGGTGTATGAGTGTGTTTGTGTGTGGGTGGGGGGGGGGGGAGGGTGTTTATGTGGATGTGTGTGTAGGGTGTGGGAGGGGTGTGTTATGTGGTGTGTGTGTGTGGTGGGGGGGGGGGTGTTGGGAGTGTGTGTGTGTGTGGGGGGGGTTGGGAGGGTGTGTTGTGTTGTGGGGGGGGGTTGGGAGGGTGTGTGTGTGTTGTGGGGGGGGGGTTGGGAGGGTGTGTTTGTGTGTGTGTGGGGGGGGGGTTGGGAGGGTGTGTTTGTGTGTGTGTGGGGGGGGGGTTGGGAGGGTGTGTTTGTGTGTGTGTGGGGGGGGGGTTGGGAGGGTGTGTTTGTGTGTGTGTGGGGGGGGGTGTTGGGAGGGTGTGTGTGTGTGTGGTGTGGGGGGGGGTTGGGAGGGTGTGTATGTGTATGTGGGGGGGGGTGTGGGAGTTGGGAGGGTGTGTGTGTGTGTGGGGGGGGGGGGGGGGGGTGTGTATGTGGGGGGGGGGGGGGGGGGATGTGTGGGGGGGGGTGTTGGGAGTATGTGTACGTGGAGGGGTGTTGGAAGGGTGTGTGTGGTGTGGGGGGGGGGGGGGGGGGGGTGTATGTGTGTGTGTGTATGTGTGTGTGTGTGGGGGGGTTGGGGGGGGGGGTCAGATTTGGTAACTTCAAGAGCTTTGCATTGGACAAACCATTCGCTGAACTTGAAGTTTTCAGTGTTTGCACAGCAACAAAACCTACAGAATCGCTCCCCAACAAATTCCAGAAGAGAACGATTGATCCGAACCGATGGAAAGCAAACTCAAGATCAAGAAAGAAAGATCAAGATGAAGGTTCATACGTGGTTTGGGAAATGTTTGCAGCGTGTTGTCAGTGCAGATTAAATTGTCTCATTTGCCTCCATTTCTAACGAAATGGTCAATCCATCGTAGACAACAAAGGAAATAAAAGGATGAGATTGCCTGTGCACTACCAGACATCACAGCGAAAATATTTATAAAGGTGGAAGGAGAACAACAGTGGTCATTATTTCAAGCATTTGTTAATTTGTATTGTCTTTTCTGGATCTTTAGGGACTGAATGCAAACCCGACTGTCACCCACTGCATGGATTCTGCCAGGATACTGGGGAATGCAGGTATAAACTCAAGCATTGCATACCTTGCTCTGAGTACTCATCTCACTGGAAAACATATACTGAAGTTTATTCACCATGAAACACTTCTGCTTTAAACTTAGTGTTACAACACTGATGTGACAAGACTGCAAGATGTGCACACCCTTCCTGGAACCAAGAATAAACTGGTAGAAAAGGACACTATTGTGAAAAATAACTTTTTTTTAAAAAAAAAGATCCCAAGCATTGTAAACTAACACTACCAACCAGTTGCATTTATTCTTCACGCAGGATAGCACCTCAAAGCAATTGCATCAGTTCAATATCGTTATCCCTTTCGTGTCATTGAAGAACAGAGAGGGGTGGAGGTTTGAAGGTTGCCTCCTTAGCTAAGTCATCTGTATCGTGTTGGATTTTGTGTGGAATCCGATAACTAACTGGTTTGTTTTTCTAGGTGTCAGTCTGGCTGGCAGGGAGACTTGTGTGATCAGTGCACTCCCATTCCTGGCTGTTTACATGGGAGTTGCACAAAACCTTGGCAGTGCTGTTGTGAAGAGGGTTGGTCAGGCATCCTCTGCGACACAGGTCTGTTCAACCGTTTAGTGTCACACAAATACACAATGCAAAATTGGAAAACTCTTAAGCTATGCTACGAATAAAATAACGTTACAGCTAATTGGAATTCATTATGTACAACACAATATCATGATTCATATTTAATCAGATTGTAAGAGTTTGGAAATAATTTATAATTTATTTATTTAATTGATAGACTTGGCTAGAAGCTCACATTTTAGTGATTTGATATTATTTTGTTTTCTATGTATTATTCATGTACTGATATACCAAAGTTAGTACCTCAGTACCAGTTTGCAAGATTTTCTTTTTGTTGTTGTCTAATGCGCTAGATCATATTCATTTGGTCCTAATACAGTAATTGGTATTTGAAAACCTAATTTAAGAAGTAAGTAAAGCAAAATACATCTGAGATTATGTCGCCAAATGATATCATGCCACCAAATACTAATAAATGCATCTGAATTAAATTATCCTTTTCATCAGCGGTAGAAGAAAAATATGATACCCTTTTAATTGGCAGATAATCAGATGGCATTAATCTCTGTTGTCACTGAATGTCATTTGCATATATATTTCAACGCAAAATATCCACTGCAACAATTGCATTAGTGTGAATATATTAGCACAGGAAGCGGGATAAAATCCCCTGGGTGTTTTTTGGAATCATTGCAATGTTTTTATTTGTTGCTTAAAGAAGAAAAATGGTTTTGCTACAGGCTTTCCTAGAAGCTTACAAACATTAGACAATGTGATAGCAAATGTACATTAATCAGTGACTGGCAGTTAAGTGCAAGACAGCTACATAATGGAAGTAATCAAACACTGCCCTAAAATATGGTCATGTTCCTCAAAGCACTCACATTATCTCTTAGATCCAGAGGATTCGATGATGGTTCCATTTAATCAATATCGGTTTAATGTAATAGAATTATGTTGTTCGAAGTTCCACCGCCTTCTGAAAGATAAGATAGGCAAGATCATATTACATGTTAGAAATTCCCCCCTAAAAAAGTATTTTATTTTGAAATTATTTAATTTATATTTGAGTAAAGCAGTCACTCCTCCCCTTTAGCTACATAATATTGTGTGCCATCTCTATAATCTCAAGCATATTGAAATGCTGATACAAGGTAGGATGTGTGCATTTAAAATAATGCATTACTGTACTTGGGTGTTTTGTCTCTTACACAAAATCAATTGCATTAAATCAGCAGCAGCAAGTTAGTGTTTAATTTGTTTTTTTATATATGTGACTGTTAAATTAACTCTATGTTATCTTCTTTGCAGCTCCCCACACCTGTTCCTCAGAACACCCATGCGCTAACAATTCAACGTGTATAGAGAGTGAAGGAGGTGGCTACAGATGTATCTGTGGAGAGGAGTTTACAGGGAACCATTGCCAGCTCAGGAAAGGAAATTTCTGCATAAATGGGTAAAGGATGCATACTGTCAGGACCTGTGATGTACTCAATGTTGCATGGATATGATTGAAATCTCAATGCTATTTTAAAATAACATTAAATATGACCTGTAACAATCCTTAATAAATAATGATTTTAATCATAATATAATAACCCCACTACAGCATACATGGTTAAATTTCAGAAAACAATAGTGCCTGTACAACACATAGCACCAGAATTCCTTTAAGGCACATGATCTAAAATAATAACACAACAACAACAACAAGATTTCATTTATAGAGCGCCTTTCACGTCGGGAGGACGTCCCAAGGCGCTGGACAGTTGGGTCAGGACCCGAGCATTGGGGGGAAATGGTCAGGGTGAGGGGAGGGAAGGGAGGGAGCGAGGAGGGGGTAGAGAGTCGAGAGGGGAGCTGAAGGCTCGGTCAAAGAGAAAGGTCTTGAGACCGGCCTTGAAGGAGGAAAGGGAGGAGGCGGCGAAGGCACTGGGGGATGGAGTTCCAGAGCCTCGGGGCTGAGAGGCTGAAGGCCCGGCCACCGATGGTAGGGCGGTTGGGGCGGGGAATGTGGAGCAGACCGGAGCCAGAGGAACGGAGGGTATGGGCAGGTAAATAGGGGGATAGTAGGTCAGAGAGGATGAGGATCTTGAATAATAATAATAATTCTTGTGTTTGGTACAGTGCCTTCTCACATGTGAAGGAAGTCTCAAAGTGCTTCACAGGATTTACTGTGAAATGGGGTGACTGGTTATTTGTAGGCAAAGATGGCAGCACCGTTACACACAGTTTGTCCCACAAACAGCCAGGAAACAAATGATCAATTTTTATTTGGGAGATTGTTGACCAGGACACTGGGAGAAACTCCCCTTTTCAAATAGTGCCATGAGTCTTTAACATCCACCTGAACAGGCAGACATGACTTTAGTTTAAAGTCTCATACGAAGGATGGCATCTCCGATAATACATCCCCATTCCTCCCCGCCAGGACTTACTTCCACGTGAGTTCAAATGAGACTTATACCCACAAATTCTGACTGAGAGGCGAGAGCCAGGCTGACACAAAATAAACAATTGTGTATGTAGAGATACTAGCTCATGAATAAATAATAGTTCACAGACACTACAGTGATAAAGGATATATTTTTTTTCCAATAGGATGATTTTTTTTAACTGAAAGGTGACTGTACTATTTGCATAAACATAGTTATTTTATTTGGTTGCAGGTCACTGTGTCAGAATGGAGGAAGTTGCATAGATGGTAATGGATTTGGATCCCAGGCTTCCTGCCTGTGCTTGAAGGGTTTTACTGGGGTCTTGTGTGAGACCAAAATCAGTGACTGTGACTCTAATCCATGTGCAAACAATGGGACTTGCACAGACCTGGTTTCTGGCTACAGCTGCCTCTGTCCCCTTGGTTTTACTGGCGGATCTTGCGATTATCTAATCACATCCTGCCTTAGTCATCCATGCAAGAATGGAGGCACTTGCCATGATCTTCCTGAGGGGGGTTTTGATTGCGCATGCTTGCCTGGTTATGAAGCAGAAACCTGTCACGAGCATATCTCTTCTAAACATGATACAAAGCAAAACATATCCAAGCACGTGAGAGTAAGTTGGGTCAGACATGGCAAGCTTTTCAATCCACCGCTGCATGCCTTTCACAAGCCCACCCACCATCAAGGTAATGAGATGCTGAAGATCACCGTCAAAGAAACCATCCACACATCGAATTCCCTGCTCAACAGAAGTCAAGTCATCTGCTTTGTCATGCTTGGATTGCTGACTTGTCTCGTGATCCTGGGAACGACACTGATCATCTTTTTCTCCAAGTGTAAAATGTGGATGGCAAATGCTAAATATCGTCAATACCTACGGAAACAAAAAAATCACTTTCTCAACGACGAAGAGACTTCAGTCAAAATCATATTCCCGGACATGAGTAAATTGACAAACTACAGGAAAAGTTACATCTCGATGTGAATTTTTGTTTCTATCATTTGTTAAACTAAATGTCTATCTTTATTTGTATGCATCATTTTAGAAGTGTTTTTATAACGGCTTACACCAAATTCAAGCATTTTGTTGATGACTTGCTGTGTTGTCTAAATGTTTGAGGTTTATTATAAAATGTGTATCTATCTAAGTGAACGTTTCTTACTCAGCTCAAAATCCAACTCATGGGACATGTTAAGTAAGAGGAAGTTCAATGAGCAAAGATGAGACCTTGTAATTCCCAAAGTTATGTAGAAATGGATAATATTAATGCAAAGTATCCAAATAAATCAGAAGTTCCCTGGCATATTGTTTAAAGCACTTACCTTGCAAGCAAGAGGACCTGGGTTCGATTCCCGGGTGGAGTGAAAATGTTTACCTACCACTAAGCAGGAACCTGGTTGTTAGTCCATTAGCAGATTGCTAACCAGGGGATAATAATCCCTCAAAAAAACCTCATTTGGTCACTACTATTTGCATAAACATAGTTATTCTATTTGGTTGCAGGTCACTGTGTCAGAATGGAGGAAGTTGCATAGATGGTAATGGATTTGTGGGACACCTCTGTGTGTAATTGGTTGCCACTTTTTGCTCACAAAATACACAGTCAATTCACTTTACAGTATATTCTCTGAAGTACTTTGAGACGTCTCAATGATGTGATAAGGCGCTATATCAAATGCAAGGATTATTATAATAATTTTTATTATTAAATTATAATTTAATAGAAATGGCCTGGATATATTGCTCTATTAAAGAATTTGAAGTCATAATTTACACAACTTATTTGTTTAATTGTGTTAAAGAAAGAGGAAATGAACACTTACTGAGCAATTGGATTTTAGAAGATTTGTCTGCTTTTATTTTCTCGTGTATTTATATAACTGACGCTTTGCTTTATGTTTTGGCAGCATTGTAACATCATTTTGTAAAATATTTAATATATATAATTTTAAGAAGCATTTGAGCAAATAAATATTTATCATTGAGTGTCTTACAGCATGTTTATTTGATAAATCTTAAGAATTGAGTAAGATTGTTATGTAAACAATCCATTCACTGGCCAAGCTGCTTATTTAGTTTATTACTTAGTGCATCTGCAGTCAGTGGCAGAGTAACCTCTACAGTCACAGGCTTGAATCCCAAGTTATTTTGCGTAAGCAGCTACTGGACTAAGTGTCTTAAGTGAAATTAATTTTGTTTTGAGTTTGTGTGGCATTTACGGTGCAAAACATTCACTTAAGAATAGTAAGACAGCAGTATTTCTAACACATTTCAATTCTGAACATTAACATTGGCATTTATTTTAATGCTGGAACCGTGTTATATCGTGTAAGTATATGTAGATGGTAACAAATATTGTTATATTGTAGGCTTGTGGTATTTAGTATTTTTAAACCTGAACTGAATTCAGACCACAATTAATTAAACTTTCTTTACTTTTGGTAGGTATGATTAGTATAGAGTATTGTTCGCTTTATGGACAAGCCTTTGTATTGAGATCCGCTTGATTAGGCTAAACGTTTGTCAGAGAATACAGAAAAGATCATATTTGCTCACAGTAAAAAATACAAAATCCCTACATTATCAATAAATTGACTCAAAAAGAATCCTCTGTACCTTCCTATGAGTGTGAGTGGGTCCAGACCAGTATTTTAAGATATGCCAAGGCAGCAGGACACGTGAGCACAAGTTCAATGTTGTGAAGGGTAATTTTAGGACCGACATTAATAAGAATTTCTTTACACAGAGGGTAATCAGCAGCTGCAACAGATAAGCAAGAAGGGAGGTAGAAGCCAGGGCACTGGATTCATTCATCCAACTACCTCTTTTGCGATCTTATGAGTAGGATCTTTGTTATTTTCCTGCTGTGACAATAACCTTCAACCTGTTCTGTAAGTGGAATACTTACACCAAACCCAAGCAAAGATTTTTATCTCTTTTTGGTCAGCCGGGTGCTTGACATGTGCGGAAACCCATCACCAAAGCTAAGATCCACGTGACATTCCTATAATAATGCACTGTTTAAATCTCTGTGATTCACAGAGCAATTATGGGGTCTGGTGATTGAAAGAGCCTTTCAATAGCAGGCATATTATTTTAATGGAATATTTAAAATGTGTGCCTTAGACTTAAATTGGAATATACTGGGGATTAATGTATTTCTATCCAAGAAGCAGCCCCCACGTCTGCCTCACCTGAGATTACCCATCTCTGTCTACATCAGCTATCAAAGTTCAGAACCGCTTTACCCAGTCAACTGCTGTAGGAGTGGATGTACTATTCCATATGTATTTACACAGCATTTGAGATTTTGAAGCTTTCTCTCAGCATTGCGGCAATTACATATTAATAAACATATATAAATAATCTTCATACTTAACTTTGGTTCTCGTCAAACTTTAGAATATTTATCATTCTGTTTACGCATCAACTTAGTGAAAATAAATTGATTGGATGGCTTTCAATCGCAAACATGCATACTGAGCTAAACTATTTTGAGGAGATGAAGTCTAGGCGAAAGGATAACATAAGTTGAAGGCAAGATTAGCCCTTAGGGTGCTGGCCAGTTCAGGGAATTTCTTGCCTTTCTGGACCAGTCAATTTTGTTTTAAGTTTCACCTCATATCGTTCGACACTGAAACAAACATTAATATTACAATAATAAAGCACTGTGCAGATCTGGAGCTAATTACTTACTGAAATATTAACCTACATAGCTTGTCAATACAGATGCAACACCCAGGCAAGTCAGCTTTTCAGCAGCACAACAAGGGTAGTGTATAATTAGTTTATATATATGCAAGTCTGCTTTGTCACGGATGATTATTTTTACAAGATTGGAGCTCCCTGTAACCATGGTGATGTCTGGCACTAAGACTATCTTTAATTTGAAAAGTCTAGTGCATATCCTCTATTCCTTAGAAATAAATAAAAAAATTTCAGTGCGCCTCCTGTTATAGAGAGGTATGTGTGTGTGTGTGTGTGTGTGTGCGACTTCTTCAGCTTGATAACACTCCAAAACAAAGTAACACAAGAACTGCAAATAATAGATACATAACTCTGGCCTCTGAGTCAAACCCCACGTCAGGACTTTGAGCTCACAGTCTTGGCTGACACTCCAGTGCAGTGCTGGAGGGAGCTGCTGTACTTCCTGATGAGACATTAAACGCAGGTCCCGTCTGTCTGTTCAGGTGGGCGTTAAAGATCCCAGTGCACCATTCGAAAAGAGAAGGGAGTTTCTCCCAGTACCCCGACTTGCAATTCCCCCAAAATAAAACTCATGGTTGTTTGTGAGACATTAAAACTCTGTCGACATGATAAGGCACTGTGTCAAAACGACGGATTATTATTATTATCACTACTATTATATTAATGACATGCACACAAACTTCAAAAGTTAATGTGTATGCAAGTACCCCCATTAACCTGGGATCATTTCCGATATATTTTAAAACTGCCGGGAGATTAGTGCGCATGACAATGCATGAGTGGTTTTTAAATCCTAAGCACATGTTGTAACTACATTATACGCAAATGTCCCTTTTACCGAGCCAGCACCAGAAGAGGTCAGTACAGTACATAACTTTACGTAAGTCACATATGATACGACTTAGGCATGTTTGCATTATCAGATGCTTTGCATAAGTCACATTAAATGTTATGGTGCCAATCGACACGACTTATGTGAATTTTACTGTATACGACCACCCAGAGGTGAGTTGGTGTCACTTCAGAAGAACTGTACCAAATGGATCGGTTAGTACTGTAGTTTGACACTGAATTACATGTCCCACAGATTTTGCCATGAGATTTGTACTCCCTTACCATTGGCAGTGATGTTATGAAAGAAAAAAACAAGGAAAAGTGGTAAGTGGAGAAAACCTAGGGATTATTTATCCTTCACTGGGAAATTGCAAATGCAGAATTAGACGGTAATAATAATAATCCTTGCCTTTGGTATAGCGCCTTATCACGTCTTTGAAACGTCTCAAAGCGCTTCACAGAATATCCTGTAAAGTGAATTGACTATTTATTTTGTGGGCGAAACACGGCATATATCAAATGCAATGATTATTATTATTTTGCTAACATAACGTTCAAAACAATAATAAAGGCACGTTCTGCAAGGACAAACTGATGCCCTTTCCGCTGTGTTGAATGAGCTCATAAGCATAAGAAGCTGAGAGATCGTACATAGGAAAGCAATGAACATGAACATCTTAAAGACCACATTCAGTCCAGAGTGGAGACAGCCCCTATGTGTATTCGCTACAGAAATGGAATCAACTGTGGTTATAGGGACGTTTGCTTTGTACAACAAGCTCTTTGCATTGAGCGTAGGCTGACACCTGGTGACTGAACTACGGCATTGTTTTTTTTACACTGTTGCATTCGGATTCTAAAAGAACACAGAAAAAAGCATTGGTACTCAAAGAAAAGAATAAATGTATTCAGAGAAAGTAACTGCAAACTACAACAGCATCCGTCTTAAATTTCATTATTTACAATTCCATTTTTTTGTAAATAAGCAATCCTCTGGAACGCCACTCTGATGAATATTGCAAATTTGAATCAATGTGATCGATGGCTCAGTTGGTCAAAGCACTTTCCTATGTCGGATCTGAGCCCTACAGACCTGGAGCAGTCCCTAGTTGGCTGCTGAGTAGCTGATCTCAAACAGGTCAAGTGCCAAGGAGCGGAGCAGTCAACCGTGTTGAAATTCCTATTGTTTTGTCTCGAGGATCAATGCGGTTGCTCTCAGTTTTTCTGACTGCAATACAATTGACCTCAGTACCCTTGCAATATGGAGGAGAGAAAAAACAGGCCACTACTGACTGTTATCCACTAACCTGTGCGTGTGTTTGGATGTTAGATGAGGACTGTGACGTCTGTTTGCATTCAACAGCCCCCGTTAACAGTCTCGCTTTGAGACATCCTCCTGACATGAAAGGTGCTACATAAATGTAAATTGCTGCTGCTGTCTATTAACTTCAGTATGAATCAGTTTCCTTCAGAAGACCCTCAAAGCGGGTAATAAAATGGTAGCAAAATACGCATTGTCACAATACAGTATTAAATGTTCTGCATGAGGTAGGGGGTCAAAATAATATAAACACTGTTAGTTCCTCCTCAGGTTTCTACAGATGTAAAAGAGCTCATGTGCGGAAACCAGCAAGCACCTGCTAATAACATGTTATTATCATAACAGCTCAACACAGTAAATTGCAACTCAGGTTAAATGGTACGAATTTAAAGAGAACAAAAGGTGTTTGAATGGCTCTGACTCAAAGGGGGGAAAAAAAACAATATGAAAAAATCATGCAGCAGTCAGCAGAGCACAAAAAAAACCACTGCAAGTAATCTTTTGGAGAGGCAGAAGGAATTCTGATGTTACTCATTGCTCAACCACCAATTTTATCGGTAAACGGAGACAGACTTTGCTAATCTTTGCTAATCTTAATTCCCGGAAATGTCATCGCATAATGAATGCAATGTATAATATAGAATTTACTGTTTTCCTGACAAAACTTACAACATCCCAAGCTCCATCGGAACTAACGAATGATATAACTCGAACCAGATTGAGGACTTTTGT